CACCCTATTGTGCTGCAGCGCCCTCCTGTGGCGAAACGAAGAACAGGCACATAATCCTTGACAAGAGTGGAAGAAAAGAAACAGATGGTCCCACGCAGAGAACTAGAAAAGGGAAACGGAGATGGTCTGCAAAGATTAGGGACCGCTAGTCAGTTGTCGCTGTAATTCAGGACGGTGTAGGAAGCAGGCAGTATGCTTCTGCTGGATAGTTTAGACTCTGCAAAGGACTCTGATAGATGAGTGATGCTACCCTCCCCTAGGGCACGCACATTTTATTGCTTTCTCCTGAATCTTCTCCTAACTATATCCACTTTTCATGGTTAGAAACTATCTTGTATGATTTCATATCTCATAAATAACACTACAATGGAAAGATTAATGTAAATATTTTACTGCTAAAATGTGTTCTCCCCTGTGTAACTGTTTTTGTAATATAAATATTTGGCAATCTTGGGGTGGTTTTAGGAAGTGATGGTTTCTCAGTGCTTTGACCTAATTTCTCCTCTGCCAACATCAATTTCAGTCTTCTGAAACAGAAACGTTTGGAATAGCATTAGAAACTGAAAGGCACATACTTTATGATTCTTAGACTGAGTGGGTTTGCTTGAGATTAAATTTGAAAGCACCATCTTGCCTCTGCGGTGGTTTCTAAGGGATTCTGTCATCATGGGTTCATGTTGAGCCCTCTTAACCCTGCTGCCCGAAGTGGCTGAAACTGTGGGGCTGGGCAGGGATGGGTGAGTGAGGCTACACTTATCCAATGACAGAGCAAACCGTCGAGGCAATTCTGGACGATGGGACTTGGGGTTAAACCTGGAGGCGGGAGAAACCTGGAAAGGTAAACGGTTCCCATCCAGCACCTTTCTTTGTTCTTTTGAGGGGGTGGACGGACATAATTCTGCTGTTGTGGAATAAGTAGGAATCTACAATTCTTCATTTCCTCTGATTCCTGTTCTACAGGGAGCCCTGGTCTGTGGTAGCAGGGACTAGGTGTCACCTGGGCCAAAGGAACCTTGCAAGCTCTACTGGCTCCTTTTGTTTTGTTTTGTTTTGAATGCCAAATGAACTTTTTATTAGTTTAGGACCAACATTTTAAAATACTGAGTAGATGAGTAATGAGCAATCTTTGGAGGGAGGTAACTGTGTTTTGTTGGACTTCTCAAACACATTTCAAATATCTCTTAAAGGTGCTGTAAAAATTTCACTGAAAACATAAAGTGGATTTGTTCTATAAGAAAACACTAAATTAGGGCCGGCCGAGTGGCACGATGGTTAAGAACTGGCTTTGGACGCCAGGGGGCCCCGGTTCGGATCCCACATATGAGGGCCAGTGACACTGCCCTCTACAGCTAAGATGCTCAACAACAGCTCAACCTGGAGCTGGGCTGCCGTGAGGTGACGGCGATGGCGTAGGCTGCAGCCCCTGTGGCAGCGGGTTGCCATGGGCTACCGTGTGTGGCCAGCAGCCAGTGTGAGCGGCCAGCAGCCGCAGTGAGCGGCTGTCCAGAAGCCGGCGACTGATGTGCCTCACCCAGGAAGAGCGCAATGATGGTGCCAACTTGGGCCAGTGAAGCAACATCCTCCACAACTAAACTGAAGAACAAAAAAGGACAGCAACTTGTCTGTTCCCCTTCCCCCAATTCCCCAGCGCTGTTCCCTTCCCCCAATTCCCCAATAAAAATCTTTAAAAAAAAAAAAAAAAGAAAACACATTTGTAAAAGCATTTCTCCTTCCTTTCACCCTTCTGGGTTCAAAGTGGGGGCGGTTCTCCTCTGGGCCTTTCGCCCCCAGCCTGAGACTTCACTGCTGTGTGGATACTCCAGCCGTTAGGGAGGGTGTGGGAGGGTGGAGCCTGGGGGCGTTCCAGAGGAAAGAACTGGCTTTTTAGAGGTCCACGTTTTTAGTGAAAATATACAAACTGCTTTTTTTTATAGAAAATTCCATTTTCTCCCACCCCCTGCTTCTCACTCTGCGGAAATTTCTGACTTTCTCACTGATGGTGTCTGGGGCTGGCTATCAATGAGGTGGCTATGATTTAGTGATTCAGTGTGTCCTGACAAAATCAAGCTGAGAAGTTTCACCATTTTGATTAACACCAAGTGTCCACACAACGCCTAAAGTCAACAGAATCCTGGTTCAGTCAACCATCAGGTGATTATTCAGAAATCCTTCGTAGTCCCTTGTAGTTCCTACCAAATGGTAATCCATTTGGGAAAAAGTCTACTTTTCTTAGGGAAAAATAATGCCGGTACACTGTGTGAGCATTGCTCATTGCAGAAAAAAGCATTGATTCTAAATCGGCTCGGGTTTATGCGGGGCTCTGACACCAACACGAGGCGCGTCCACCGCCGTGGAGTGCACCGCCTGCCTGCCACTTGCTGGTGGGTTTTTTCAGGAGATCCGGAGGCGATGGCCCCGTCAGAGTGGACTCAGGGAGGAGTCGAGTTCCTGTGTGGACCCGGTGTGTGCGAAGGCCTGCAAGCCTGACCCAGCTCAGTGGTTTGAAGGAACTGCGGAGTTCTTTGTGACTAAAGCAGAGGTACTTGCAGGGCTGTGGTGGGAGAGGAATTGAGAAGGGGCCCGCGCGTGAAGAGCCTTAACTGCCATGATGAGTAGTCTTAGCTTCATCTTAGAGTCAGTGGGATGCTATTTACGAACTTTATACAGGGATAACATGTTTATCATCTGGTGAGATGGTAAGATCTACCTAAAAATTTAAAAAATAATAATAATAGCAGCGACATCCAAGAAGTGTCAGAAGACAGTATATGATTAAATGTGAAATGGTTGGGACAGGTGAGTGCCAATCATGGAGCAGAGAAATTGCTATGGGTTGTTACCATCAGGGGTGTCTTCTTGATGGAGGAAGGAATGACCCTGCACCTTGAAGAACAAGTAGAAGAAAAGGGAGATGCTTTATTGATGCCAGAGTAGGAGGTCTGTAAACAATGGGGATTGTTTACAAAGAAACATGGAAAGCGGGACAAGTCTCTTTTACTGGTCACATCACAGTCCATGTCCCGACCTCATTCCATTTGATGACAAGTGTAATTGGGCACGGTGCAGAGAACAACTGAAGCAGTGTGACCGAGTGTCCTAGAGAAAGGACCCAGAGATGGGAGCATGAACTGAGACCTCAAATTAGACAATGTTGGCCCCTCCCAGCTTGAGAACAAGTGTCTGACATTCCAGAGTTCCAGCAGAGTTCTTTAAAGGCTTATATGAATTCAGTAAGTATCGAGGACCTACTGTGTGCAAGCACTGAGCTATATCGTGGCCACTGCAGTGGGCTGTGTTGTCTACCTGATCACCTGACATGCCTGCCATATCTGCTTTTCTGCTCTAAAAGACCATTGTCTACAGGGAGAAAAATGTGATTTTCTTGGGCTCTATTAATACTCAGCTACTTCTTGATGCTGTCATGACTGATAAACGCCATGGACTCTCTTCTTAGAAATCAGAACCCTTGGCCATAAGTGGAACTGCAGAACCTGCTCAAACTGGCCCTATGCTGTTTCTATCAAGACCCGGAACCACAGTTTAAACCTTGAATACACCACTGAGGAGTACCACTTGTGAACCCTTAACTGTACCCGTTAAAATCCCACCCTAAACCCTGATCGGGAAGACAGATCTGAGCCTTTCCTCCTGTCTCCTTCCCAGTTGACTCGTAAAGAAAAGCTTTTTCTCAATCCCTGCACCTTTTTCACCCAGTTCCCCAACCCCTCTCCCCTCTGGCAACCATCAGTTTGTTCTCTGTATCAATGAGTCTGTAAGAAATACAAACTGGTAGTTACAAAATAGTCACAGGGGTGTAAAGTATGGCATAGGGGATAGTCATAGTCAATAATGCTGCAACAACTATGTACAGTGCTAGGTGGGGACTAGACTAGTCAGGGGGACCTCTGCATAAATTATATAAATGTCTAACCACTATGCTGTATACCTGAAACTAATATAGAATGTCAACTGTAACGGAAAAAAAAACCACCTTTTTCTTTTCTCAGAAGTCAGCGCCATCGTATTGGCTTCTATGCAACACCAGGTAGCAAATCCTTGTTCGCTAACATGAGCGTGAATTCGATTGTTTGGGTGGAATTTGCTCTGGAACAAGTATTTACTGGAAGTTATTCCTGCCCTACATGGGTCCAACCATGTTAGGGGATGTGAACCTTTCCTTTTTGATAAGAAGAAAAGCTGTCATGAAAAGAACCCAACCCAAGCCTAGAACACAGCAGCAAAAGGAATTTTACCAATTTGCGGGGCTCTGCCAACATTTCCAGCAGTTATGAAAAATAATGAATTCAGCCAATAAATAATCCTACAGTGGAATGGATGCTGTGCTGGGGCTACAGAAGTGAACAAAGCAAACACGGCAGCTGCCCTACTGTCATTTTCAGCAAGTGGGGAAAGGAAAGCAGGTGAACACTTGGCAAGTGATGGGTGTTTAGTTCTTGTGTGCTATTGCTTTAAAGAGTCCTGGCCTGAGCTTGCTGTGTGCTAGTTGTGTGATTGAATCCTTCTGAGATAAGATTTTGAAGCAATAAAATGTCAAAACAGGAGCAGCTAAGAGCTCAATAATTACAATTGAGCAACCTGGCTAGATTTAAAGCATCTCAGGAAATAGGGTTCCTGCATTTGAAGAACTTTTTATTTATTCTTCCAGAGAAGGCTGTGTTCCATAGTCTCTTTTGAAGAACAGAGCACTTTTCTACCCACCTGTTGGAAGTTGACACCAAATGGTTAAGGCCTGACTGGGGTCCTGCGTCTGCTCCTCCGAGCACTTTGCAGATTCCTCTAGCATGGAGCTGCTGGAACCAGGAGTGCTTGCAGCTTTCCCCTCTTCCTTCCTCTCCCAGGCAGATTCTCCTCTCTGATCGGAATAGCAGCCGAGCCTGGACAGCTTGGAGGTGTGTGGAAGTCGGCGCAGTGCCTGCGTCCCCTGGGTCAGCTTGAGCTCTCGCCATAATTTCATTCCACAAGCAACAAAACCCAACTCAGCTTACAAGGGAAACAGGGAGAGAGAGGTCATTGAATGTAGCAGTCCTCGGTATTTATTTACTAAAATGCTGAATGAGGGGCCCACCTTTGTAAGAGGACATTCTAAGGGAAATTCTGAGATTGTGAGCTGTAGCTCTTTCTCTTCCCGCTCGGTTTGGCTGATTTCCAAAGCATCCAGGCCAGCAATTGAGGGACTGAAATATAATCAGTGGCGATACATTTGCACCACATGAAACATTCTCTGTCGCCAAAGGCTCCAGTGGCATTGGGAACAGCATACCAGCAACAGCTCCTGGCTGCCCGGCTCTGCAGGGAGGGGCTGTTGGATCACAATGGTAAGAACCCCGGAGTTTTCGCAGACCTGGTTACCTGGGAGAGAATATTAGCAGGTGCTGGTGAAAATGAATGGCTGTTGGTAGCAGGAGGCTGACAGTCCCTTGAGCTCTGGGGCACTGTCAGTTATTCACTAGAAGGGCAGGAACACCCTTGCCCACCAGAGCACTGATTTTTGAAAAATGATTCCTTTTGTGTCAGGGGTCATGCTGTCTTCTGGTTGATAAGGACCGTTTGCTGAGCTCTGCCTGGGAAGGACTGTCCCACGGTGACCTCAAATGCGAGCTCTGATGAACGCTGTTGCTGAAGTGTCTGCTTTCCTCGGAATGTAATTGTAATGCTCAGGAGACCGCTTCAAAGACATAACTGCCTGTTTTTTGGGTGTTTTCATGTGGGGGTACCATGGTTCTTTTCTGATGAGTGAATTGTCATAGTCTGGGCTTCCTTGCAGGTAGGATGCATTAAATATTACCGGAGCAAACTTCAAAATGATTTTTTTTTCTTTTAAAACTATCATATGCAGGCAGCGAGGACAGGAACCCGTGTTTTACAGGAAAGTGTGTTGTGACTTTGGTGGGAGGAAGTTTGTTGGACTCACTCTGCAAAACAAACAGAGCCAGGGACAGGCACGCCTTACTGGAAACATGAAGTCTTTGGACCAGGCGTTAAAATTCGCCATGGGAGTGAATGACTGTGTGCTTAGCTCCCCGTGTTTCTCCTCCGGGTTCCTCTTCTCCATCACCCTTGATACGGGGGAAGGGGCGGTAGGAGGAACTGGTCTAACAGTGAAGCCACTAAACGTTTTCTTTAAGGAATTAAGGGGCGAAGGACATTGGTAATAATAAGATTACATAACATTTTAAGACCTATTACTGTACGGAGAGAATGCCTGAAATACACTTATTTGACTGCACAGCTGATGTGTGGGAAATGATTATTCTGCTTATAATCCGGATGAATGAAGAGAGTGCTGATGAAGGGAATGTGGGAATTTATAGAAGTAAGTCTGCCTTTCCAGCAACTTAGAAAAGGGGACAGTAGACGCCTGATTTATGAGACTACTTCATTTCACTTCCTGCCCTCACCATCCATCCTAGATCACCCACTCATGAGCAAAAATACCACAGAAATAAAGCAGCAAAGATAAGGGTCAGATGTTTTTCCTCCTTAATTGATATCTGGTACCATTTGTCACGTCATCCATTTTAGAAGCTCCCCTGAGCTGTGGAAAAGTCACATTAAAGACACTCATTTCTCCTGAATCAGCAGGGTGGGTACAAATCAACCTGTCCAGCCTGAGGATTCAATGGGACCCCTTAGTGCTTTGAAATGTTTTGCCTGATTTTTCTCAGGCATAATAATTCTTTACTTCTCTTTAGTAGCCTGAGAACATTCCTTTAAGGATTAGAAAGCACTGGGCTGAACTACAGATTAGAGTCCCCTGCCAGCACACTTTAAGTTAAGCGTGGGCACAAACGTAAGCATAGTGATAATCTTGTATGGTATTTCTGTATTCCAGGGAGAAAGCATGGAGCCAGTCCAGGGCTGAGATCACTTAAATGCAGTATCACAACCTGATGAAAGTGTATAGACTTCCACAGGAGCGAACTTTCCTTCTGATTTGGAGGAAGGGATGAAACTAAGAGAATGAAATTTAAAAAAAAAAAAAAAAAAGGAGAGGGGAGAGAGGGTGACTTCAAGCCATTTGCATCCAGGCCAGAGTCTGGTTATTTTGATTAACTAGAGAGTGGGAAACAATTATTTCATTGTTCATTAAAACAAGAGCTTTGCAAACACTGACATGGTAACCCTTTTGTAGAGAAGACATCCTCACTAGTAGTTTAGCAAAGGGAACCGCATTTTGGCTTTCCTGTTAGTGACAAGTCTGTCCAGCAAGCAGTGGGTCAACAAACCAGTCTGTATTGTAAGGGGAGTGAATCTATGGATTTTCCTTGAGTCCCTTCCACCATGCAAAGGAAACCAGTCTGTTTCTGACCATGCAAATGGGACCAGTTATCTCACTTATCCAAGAAGAAAGACACTCACTGTGTTTAAAACCCTCTCCTTGACCTTATTAGAGTCAGGACTTGCTGGGCGTTATAACAAATAACCAGTCTGACTTGGGCTCTGGCCTCTGATGGCTTTTGTTTTGTTTTGTTTTAATGACAAATTTAAAGGAAGTGCAAATAATGAAAGCCATACCACATTATTACAAACACCTTAAGATTATTCTAAAAAAAAAGGAAAAATGTTGGCGTTTTCAAATAATATTTTACAAATATGTAAGACATATGTGCTGGGTACCAAGTGTTTTAAGCACTTTAGTGATCGTCATCCTTGCTTTCAAGCAGATACAATTATTATCCTGGTTGACCTGAGTTAAGGCACAGAGAAGTTAAGTACTTTCCTAAGGAAACACAGCCAGTAAAAAGTAGTGCCAGGATGGGAACAAATGCAGGGCCCTTACTTGTTAAACCACCTCACATACAACCTTCTAGGATAGAGAGTAAGGAAAGCCAGGCCAATCCTTCAAAGGCCCAGCCCCTAAAACTTCAAATAACCTTGGACTTCTTTCCTCCTCATGTCTGATCTGTTCCCCAAACAGATCTGTTCTTTCTTCTCGATGTCACCTGTTTTGGTTTCCTGTCATTTGCATACTGGGATATTGTGATTTGTAATCTGAACTGTATATTTGGTCTTCTTCCCTGTTTCTGGAGCAGAGCTCCTAAAACCCTTGGAATCTCCTAAGTGACGAGAGCAGTCAAGGTGTCTTGCTAATGAGGTGACTTTTGGACAGCACCTAAGGATGGGGGCTGGTTAGAGGGTCAGAGCTTCCAATCTCACCCCATCCTTTTGTCTTGGGAGAGGATATGGGCCGGAGGTTGGACCAGTCACCAATGGCCAATGATTTAATCATGCCTATGTAATGAAGCCTCCATAAAACCCCACATGGGCTTGGGTGAGCTTCAGGGTTGGTGAACACATGGAGCTGTGGAGGAGTGGTACCCCTGGAGAGGGCATGAACACTCCTAACCCCCACCCACATACCTTGCCTTGTGCCTCTCTTCCATCTGGCTGTTACTGAGTTACATCCTTTGACAATAAACCGGTGATCTAATAAGTGACATGTTTCTCTAAGTTCTGTGAGCCATTCTAGCAAATTAATTGAACTCAAAAAGGGGTTGTGGGAACCTCTGATTTATAGCCACTTGGTCAGAAGTACAGGTGACACCCTGGGCTTAGGACTGGCATCTGAAGTGGACGGATGGGAGCAGTCTTGTAGGACTGAACCCTTAATCTGTGGAATCTGATGCCATCTCCAGGTAGATAGTGTCAGCGTGAGTTGAATTTTTGGACATCCAGCTGGTGTTGGAGAATTTCTTGGTGTTTTGTGTGGGGAAAGCCCCTTCTTCCCTCCCCCGCCCCCACCTCCACCATGTAGAAACTGTGTCCTGGAACCTAATTTACATACCAACACCATAACTCTTACCTTATGTTCCCACTCTGGCTAACTTCCCTTAAACCAACTGAGAGATAGTCTTATGTTATGGAAGGAGAGTGTAAATGTACTCAGACATCGAGTTAAATCTCTGTGTCTCCCACCTATTACTTGTGTGATTTTGGACAGTATTTCTTCTCTTTCACAATTACCATTCTTATCTGCAAAGTGGGAATAATGATTCTTACCACCATCAGGTCATTGTGATAATTACATCAATATGTTTGTGTAAAGAAGAATTCATGTTTGATTAAGCTGGAGACCCTGGCAGAGAGATGAATCAGAAGGAAACTTTTGAAATTACAAGGATTTAAATTAGGATGGTGGGGAGACAATGAAAAAGAAATCAAAGTAGGAGACGACGTCAATGGAAAATTCTTGTGCACTGGCCATTGATTGGATGTGAAACATGAAAAAGAAAAGCCAAGACTCTGGCACTTGAAGCGAGTGGCTCAAGGAAAGTGGATAAAGCTCCGCTGGCTGCAATTCCTACAGGCAGGATGCCTCATACATGATAGCTCCCGTGTGTTGTAGAATGAGTTAAAAAAGACTTAGATCAAGGAAGAAAATGTCTGAGAATCAGAATATGTAACCTATGACTCCTATAGCTGTTGCCCAAACTCCAATAAGGTATTTAGAAGTGAGTGACAATGTAGTGTGTGTTCTGAGGAGAAAACAGAGGCTTAAGATATAATATAAAGTGGTCTTTTGGGGCCGGCCCAGTGGCTCAGTTGGTTAAGAGCTCGCTCAAGAGTGTGAGCAGTTCGATGCCCGGCCCGAGCTGAGCAGCCACTGAGCTGCCAACAGGTGACAGGATGGCTCAGCTTAAAAAATAAAAATAAATAAAATGGTCTTTTGGTTATGTCCTTGAGGAGAAGAAGGTAATTTCAGAGGCTCAAAGGAAGTTCTATGTCTCTACAAACATAGTTCCACAGGTTTTAGAAGTTTGAAGGTGACATGTGGAGGACAAAGTGGATATAGCTGGAAATCACTGATAGCTGCAGTGCAATTTTCTTGGTAATTGATGACCTGTAGCTATGTTGATAAGGTGAATGGGAAGAGGTAGAGGACAGTGAGTGGATATGAAAGCCCCGCCCATCAAATATAAAAGTACATAGACTGAAGGTGTGAGGAATTATATTAATTAGAATAAGTAAGACACTGATTGTCAAGAAAGGGGATATGTGACAATTTTAGGGGATTGAATGTGTTGGTATCTTTGAGTTTCTCCTTGAAGAGGGTGTCAGGAGCATTAAAAATTATAAATTGCACATATCAACAATATAATGAAAATGAGTAGTCTCTCTCAATCATTTTTTTCTGTGGTCTTCTGTGAAGGAACCATACTTGATGAGTTAAAGGAAGTGCAAAGCTGAAAACAAGCATATATGAACTTGGTGCAAATTTTCATCTCATTGGTCAGCCTCATGGGTACAGATAATTCATGATGGAGGCTGGACAGGTCCCACGTGGTAGGAAGACCCAGAGAAAGTATATATGGGA